TGCTGGGCTGCCCGGGATGGAGCCGGCCCGGCCGCTCTGGCGTCAATCCTGAGGGACACAGAGCCCAAGGGATCTCCTGCCTGCAGCTCCGGCTGCAGCTTTTTGCTTTTCCGCTTTGCAGCCAAGGGGGATTCACCGCCCTCCACCCCCACCAAAGGGCAGCCACCATCCCCGTCTCCCCAGGCCTGGCCGTGATTTATTTTTATTTTTCCTGTTTTTTTGTGGGTTTTTTTGTGGATTTTTTTCCCCTCCTCCAGCCCTGATTTGGAAAAGCCATCGCCGCTGCCCATCTCCTCCCAGCGCCGGGCGCTAGCGGAGCCGGACTCACCCCGCTGAGGCAGCATCACCCCGGCCCACCCTTTCCGACGCGGAGACGCCGGAGCAACCATCGGGGCTTCTCGGCTTCCCCGGGGGGGCTCACGCCCTCCTGCATGACCGGTCACCGCGGCTGCGCCCGGCGATGGCCGCGCGCTGAACATGTCGGCGTCCAGGCTCAACGGCAGCGTCAATGGCTTCCCGGAGGAGGGCAGGATGGAGGCGGGAGACATGGGCCGCATCCTGCGCTGCCTGGAGATGGGCACCGTCCTCACGCTCTTCTACCAGAAGAAGTCCCAGCGGCCTGAGCGACGGACCTTCCAGGTGAAGCTGGAGACCCGGCAGATCATCTGGAGCCGCACGCCTGAGAAGGTGGAAGGCGACAGTGAGTAGTGGTGGGCGGCGGGATGCTCCGTGCCGGGTACCATTCCCCCATTGCCCGGCCCAAACCGGGCCGGAGCGGGTTGGAGCCATGGAGTCACACTCACGTCTTCCACCCTGGCATTCTTCCCATCCCTTCGTTTTCCCACTGGAAACATGCTGGTGATGCTGGAATGTGGTCGCTTAAGCCCGGTCAGAGAATCCTTAAAAAACACCCTTCATTGTGGGTTCCCTAGTGTCTAGTAGGTTCTCAGCACTTACTACGCTTCCTCCCTCAGATGTCTTTTGACAGATGGGATTTTCAGCTTCACGATGACTTTTAGCTGCAGTTGCAAGATGTTGCTGCAGGCCCGTGATGCTCCCTGCTGCGAAGCATGGGGCACCCATCTCTTTTCACCCCGAACACTTCCCAAACTGAGCCGTGGGAAGAGTTAGGCTTCACTTTTCCCAAAGCACCACTCATTTTGGCACGGATATGGCACAAAAAAGTCCCATCGCGATGATGCCTGGGGTGCCAAAAGCAGCCCGGGAGTCATAGCCACCAGATGATCTGCACTTTCCCAGACCTGCTTGGCCCTGGGCAGGCAGATCCCCCTGGATCATGGAGGAGGAGGATGAGGGGAGGGGAGGAAGGCTGGGGCACCTGCACCAGGTATCTCCTCTAAGCCAAGGGCAATGAGACCCAGGGCCATCAGGGAGCCAGGAAGCGCAGGGAGCAAAAACTCCCTCTCTGCTCACAGAAATAACCTTTTTCCAGCCCTTTGCTTTTATTTGCGCAGGAATTTTTGGGGGCATTTCGGTCCCCATGCTCTTGCTTTCCCCACCAGCCCTGTGGAGCATCCTGGCTTCTGACCTTGTGCCAGCCTGGACCATTTCAAATCCTCCCTTCACTGCGGCGAGCGGCTGCCGAGGGGATTACGGGGCGGCCGTCAGCGCTGATGTCTCTGTTAATGGGGCCGGCTGCGATGCCGGCATTTCCTTGGGAAAGCCTCGTGGTTCCTGGTGGAAGTTTTAATTTCACGCTGTGTTAATGGCACAAAGGGCATGTGTCCCCCTGCGCTCCCGTGGTACCCGCGGCTGGAGCCAAGCTCAGCCCGGCTAGTGAGGGGCAAAGCGAGCAGGTTGCGCTGCTTTGCCTCCAAAATTTCCACCCCAGGACTTCCCCAAATAGGAGAAATAGGGGTGAAGGCAGCAGGGACAAAGGGACGGCTTTGGCCTTTCCTCGTCTCCTGGCACTGGGAGAGGACACAGGAAAAACCTGTCTAAAAATAGAGCAGTTTCCAATCTCCACTTGGAAAATCTGCTGGGTTGAGATGGGAAAGCACGTCAAAAAGGCCAGTTCAGTCAGCAGGGCCCAGCCTGGATTTTAAGGGGTTTTAAGGGGTTTTCCCTGTTCCTGGCATTTTGGAGCCGCACGACGATGCCTGGTGGGAGCAGCGCAATTTCCCAGCATGGCAATTCCTTCCTGGCCACTTCTCTTGGCTTTTCTCCTCATGCATGGATTTGGGGCAGATAAAAGATGCTGGATGGAGCCCTTCCCAGCAGCCGGGGTCCCAGGCTGCCCGTGTGCCCATCACAAGGCTGACTGCTCTCTCCTCCTGCGGAGGAGAAATGGATTTTCACAGCCAGAATGGGACATGGGCGCGTTTTAATAACCTGGACCCCCCGAACCAACATGGGGAGGAGTTTGCAGATATGTTCCTGGCATAATTGCCACAAATCCACCGCAGGTGTTGGCTGCAGGAAGCCTGGTGTCCAGCTCAGCATACTACGGCCCCGCTCTGTTAGCCATGGCTCATCCCACTGGGCACCTTGGTCTTTGCAACACCTGGAGATTTTGAGGCTGGATCCTGGGTTTTCCTTCCCAGGTTCCTCGCCACTCTGCAATGCCAGGATGAGGCTCTGCCTCTGCAAAGGAGCAGGTTGGGTCAGGAAAATGCTACTCGCGCTCCCCGTGACTTTCACCTTCCACTCAAGCAGCCCGATTTCCACCCTCTCCGCGTTTTGCAGAGACGGCGTGGGCACCCAGGCATAGTCCCCGGCCACTCCTGCATCCCTGCGCCCTTCCTCACCGGCAGCGTAGGAAACCCAGCCGGAGCTTTGCTGGAAAATCGCCGGGAAATGACCCATTTCCTGCTGCACAATGAGCCGCGCTGGGCGCCTCTCTCCCCCCACCGCGCACGGACACGGTCGTGAACACGACCTTGGCTGCACCAAGCCCTTTCCGGCCCCTGTGGCCCCCCCCCCGGCTCC